TATCGGTTCCTTCCGTGTTCCAGGGCAGTTTGGCAGACCTCTTCTGTAAAGGGCTCCTTTTAATCAGTATTTTTGGCTTTGCTAAGCACTCTCTCTCCATCATAGCAGTCCAGCTCAGCTGCTGAGCACAACAGTGGCCATAGAAGAATCGTACATGCATGGGTGTGACTGTGTGCCAATAGAACTTTATTATGGATACTGAAATTTGGATTTCAGATAATTTTTGTGTGTTGCAAATTGGTATTCCTCTTTGTATTCTTTCCCCCAACCATTTAAAAACATGAAAACTAGGGGCTTCATGGGAGGTTCAGTAGTTAGGACCTCATTGCTGAGGGCCCAGGTTCAGTCCCTGGTTGGGGAACTGAAATTGCACAAGCTGCATGGCGTGGCCAAAGTAAATTAGTCAATTTAAAAAATATGAAAACTCGTTAGCTTGCATCCATGCAAAAAACACAGGCCATAATTCCCCCAGCTCCTGTTCTCAGCAGCTTCTAGACACCAAACAGTGACCAGAACAGAGTCCCTGTCATCGCGGGGCCCCCGTCCCCGTCACTTGAAGGACTGCAAGTAGCCCTGATTCCAGTAACTGAAAGTCCGATGAAAGTCGTTCTCATCAGTGGTCCCAGGATCGGTGTTTTAACTCACCTGGCTTGACTTTTTCAGAGTGAGTTTGGCACGTCAGTCCTAGCCTAGGTTAGCAGTGTTGTGGCCGTGGGGTCTCTGTCTGTCTCCAGTTGCCTCCCAGCCCGCACTCCCCTGCCCTGCCCTGTCTCCTCACCTGCCTGGTGCGAGGTTGCAGGGCTCAATGTGGAGCCGACAATGCAGAGATGATGCACTCATGGCTGCTGCCACTCAGGTGCTCGGTCCAGGGACCACGTCTCACTCCACCTCTCTAGGCCCCGAGGTTCCCAGGTGCTCAGTCCGCGTGCTCATCACTAGCTCTTTCAGGGCACCACGTGCTCTGATGAGGGCCCGGACTGTGAGTCCTCACTCCGGTGCTGATCGCAGGGTTCTTTGAAGGCAGTTTTGTTACAAACAGGCTCACGCCTTCTGTTTGAAGTAGCTATGGAAACGTTAGAAGCTCTCTTTCTAAAGCCGGGCAGACAATGAAGCGCTTGGAGTGTTGGTAGGATTAGAGACTCTGGAAGATGTTTAATTTTCTCCCCCCCTCTTGCTTGCTTTCTGTCTCGGTAGAGAGGTAACAAGAGGGCAATGTGAATATTAACCAGGCCACTTTCATCTCCCTGTGACCCTCCAGGCTGTCTGGGTCTGCGGGGGCGCCCGGCCCGGCTCTTCCGGCTCCTAACAAGGGGAGTCATGCATATTCATGAGCCGGGCCCGGGGCTGGGATTCCCTGCTTCTCTTCAACGCAGATGTTGTGAGGGAACAACTTAAAATTAGGATCTCAGAGCCCGTGGACAGTAGTGCCAGGATGTTCTCACTGGAAATAGACACAAGTTGGAGGATATTGGTGTGGTGTTTGATTTATAGGCGGACAGTACAAACCCCGTATGTGGTACTCACCTAGGTCGAGACGGAGCACACACCTTTCATGTCTAATCACGCAGGTTGTCCAGCAGGACTTGGTGAAGTCTGCCTTAAAAAGGAAGTGAGGTTGGTTTCACTTAAGACATAAAGAATATGAAGTGCACATCTGAGTGAGACGTGTTGGGGTCTCGCTGTTGTTTTGAGTATTTTTCGATTTTCAGTGCTCTGGGAAGTTGACCCCGCCGTGGCTGTGTGGCCTTACCGCCCAGACCCTTCCCATGCTCTCCACTTAACCCGTCTCTCTACTCTTTGAACTCTGGTTTCTGAAGAAGACTGAACTGCTTTGGGCTCCAGGGCTGCCCCCGTCAAGTTATGCCAGGAGCCTGCTCCCCGGGAGACGGTGATGGTCACGTTTGTCACCAGAGCCCCGCCTGGGAGCCCCGCCCTCGCCCAGGCGCGCGTAGGGGTGGTCATCAGGACAGCCATCATTCATCTCACTGTTTCCTCCGCTCAGAGTAGTGACCGTGTGAGCTTTCTACAGGAATGAGCTGGTGAACAGTGGGGTATGATGTTGAAACACCATTACAGGACATCCACAGAATGCGGGGTTACTCCCTAGGTGGACGTGACTGAAACCCACCCTTCTATCCATCCACACTGGAATTCTCCTGTGTTTTGTCATCCTGGACCTTTTATTTACACGGTCCAGCTTCCTTGCCCTCATTGCATTTATATTGGTTTACTTTCATCTAATCTTCCACCCTGCGAAGCCCTGAATCAGGAAACCACACCAAGAACAGAAAGGAAAAGCACAGCCCGTGTGGGTCACTGCACTGCCACCACACCCCCTCCACACACATACACTCACACTCACACACACACGGTGGGTGGGAGGTGATTTCTGCTCGCTCGGACATCAAGCACGTGTTTGCAGCACCATGCTTGGAGCAGAGGACAGAAGGTCAATAAGCCATCTTCCTGGCTTGTGAAGAGCTCACAGGCCGTTGGGGCAGACGGAAATACCAGCAAATAAGTATGGCTCCCAAGATGTCAGCATAGACATCATCATCCACTGTGTGTCGGGTCTAGCTGCATGCTGAGGATGAGAAAATTGGACTCAGTGTGACTCCTTCCCTCCAGAAGCTCCCACACACATAAGCAGATCAGCAGGTGCAGTGTGATGAGAACTGGTAAAGGAAAAAGAAAAAGGGAGAGAATGTTTTGTAACCATGCAGTAGGCGCGCCCAGCTCAAACTGGTGTTGGGGCTGGCCGGGACAGAGCAGGTGGGTTTCCAGGAGCGGGGTCTCAGCTGCCCGCCCTGGGTGGGGAGGGCCAGGTGAGAGGGAGTGAGTCCCAGGTCAGGGCTCGCATTTGCACCTTGCCTGGCAAGGTGATGTTGCCGGAGCCCGGGGTGTCATTTGTCCTGGAACTGAGATCATCTGACAGTCCAAAGCTCTGGAAGACGGCTCTTTCCTCCAGAGACACTCAGCACTGGCAGCTGGTGGTGACAAGTCTGGCATCCGATGCCTTGATTGCAAAGCTAGCCAGCCTTCCAGTTGTGAGGCGCTGTCAATGCATTTATGGGAATTTCCCCTCTCTTTCTTTCAATTAAAGTGAATAACCAGGAAGCTTCAGAAAGAAGTGTTTTGCGCCTGTCATTTAGCATTGGAGAGTTGTCACACACAGGAACTGGAATGCTCCAGGCTTACACACGGTCTTGCCCAGATTCACCCTCAGATATTTGCTCCTCCACTCAGTTCTCTTGATCCCTGCCTCACCTCATCTCTTTCTGCAACAAGGGAGGAAATGGGTTTGCATGATGATGATGTCCTGCATGAGAAGTGAATTGTAGTAAGTGATCCCTGCTGAGAAAGTCACTAATATGTTGAAGGTCTTTGTTGCCGAGGATCATCCTTTTCTCTCTCTCCCGTCACAAAATGGGGGTTTGGTGATTGTGGAGAAGAAGGAGAAGTTCAGTTTGTATGCATTTGAGAGTGTGGATTCATCTCCAGATAAGAGGTACAGCCTTCTAAAGGCCCTGGGCTTTGTCGTCAGAGGGTGACAGGTCCTGGCGAGATGAGAGCATTTTCCCACCAAACAGGCAGTTATCTATAGGATTGCGTCAGCTACCGTTCTCTGCCCTTTGGAAAAGGTTGGTCATTTGTACCCACCAGTGGTCTTGGTCCGCCTCCAGAGACCAGTGGGTCGTGGCCTCCTGCTGACCTGCACCCGTTCTGACGGAGCGGTCACGACTGCAGGCTGCGTCGGAGGAACCGGGAGGGAGCAACCAGCAGGCACTTCCTGAGCCCAGAGCCGCCGGCTCTCTGTGTCCTGGCCACCTGACTCGAGTGGATGGGCTCATGTTCTGCTGGTTTCCTTCGAGGTCAGTGAACTAGGGGCAGTTGGGTTCCCGCGCTTTGTGCGCATGGAGGCCTTTCTGTGTCACTCTCGTGCTGAAGAGAGAAGCCTCACTGCTGAGCTGGGTTTGGGACAGGATCCGGAGCACGGACTCCTGAGTTCAGGGACCCGCCTGATCACCTCTGGGGGAGCAGATGCCTCGATGTGGCATCAGAAAGGCGTGCCTGGGAAACACGGGTAACAAGGAGGGACTCATTTTTCCTGCTACCATCTGTCTGATCACGGGGCAGGGAGGCCTCTGTTTCTTGAAAAAAGTGTTTATTTCACGCTTGGCACTTTGTTCCTTCTGAACCAACAGAGGGTGCCAGGCCCACTGTTCCTCACGTGTCTGTGTCCCTGTGCCCAAGACTAGAGCAGTTTCATGGAAGGGCGTCACAGTGGCCGCCCAGTGCCCTCCTGAGGTTTCCACTGCTCTCAGTAAGCATAGACCTCAGAAAAGAGCACTGTGATTCTATGTTCCTCAGAAGTTGTCTGTGTGTGCCATGCTGGACACCGTATGCAACACCTAAATCAGGGCCAGGGCACAGTGAGGCACCGCATTCAGACTGAACAGTAAAGCCTTCAAAGGCCTTCTTCGTCTTTAAAATACAGAATGAGGGAAATTCCATGGTGACTCCCAGGGGACAGTTTTTAGCTATAACTGGGCTTGCTTTAAACAGGACTATCTTCTTGCCTGATTCTACCCTAGCATCTTTGTGACTCATTCTGTAATGCTCTTATTCCTTCCCTGGTGACTCAGTAACAAGCTGTCCAGCACTCACACGAGTGTGTGTGCGCGCACACTCCCGCACACATGCTTGTGTTCACACCCCCCCGTGGGGCTGCTCTCAGCCTTTGTCTGCTCCTTTGTTCTTTCAGTCCAGTACCTCTCCCTGCCAGTTGCTGGACAACACACACACAGTGTTGGACACACGTGTATATGTGTGTCTTACACCTTTTGAATTATTTCCCGCTCTGCATGCATATTCATAGCACATCCTTCAGGAGAAAGTGTTCGTTGATTCTGGGTCTTTAGGGTCATCTGCCCGTCTCCTGCTTTTCTAGTGATGCTCGGGTGAAAGCATGTTGACAGATTCCTTCACTCTGCTCCCAGTTCTAAGCCAGTGGGTGGTGTACGCCATCCGAAACCTCACGGAAGACAACAGCCAAAACCAAGACCTGATTGCGAAGATGGAGGAGCAGGGTCTGGCCGACGCGTCCCTGCTTAAGAAAATGGGGTTTGAAGTTGAAAAGAGGGGTGACAAGCTGATTCTGAAGTCGACTAATGATGCACCTCAGCTGGTAAGTATGCCAGGAGGAGGACTAGTTCCCCTTCAGTCTGTGGGAAGTGGTCCCCACTTCCCTATAACCTTCAAAGTGACATGATTCCTTCATAAGTACAGGGTAGATGTAGTTTGCCTCCTGAGATGGCAAAGAAAGCCCTACATTTAATTGCAAATAACTTTTTGTTCATGCTTTACCTTGCCGTTTTCTTAAGAGAGTTGAAATTTCAAACTTGTTTTAGGGGAAAAAAGAAAAGGCATATCAAAATTTTCATGTGTTCTAAAAATTTCTGGCAGTAATTAGACCTTCTTTAAAAGATAGCTAATGTTGACTGCAATGAAAAGAACAGAAAACTCCTTGTATGATATTGAATGGGTTGTTTCAGGTTTCTTTCCGTTATTTCTATCATTGACCAAAATGCTCTTGTATTTTTTTTCCTTTGATGGTTCTTGTAAATAGCTCTGTTACATCTGCAATTTTGTTCCTTTTTATTTATTTTTTTCCCTCTTAGTGAATGAACTCTCCATCCAAAAATATCTGAATGTTTGGAATCTGTTTCCTGGATCTTTCGCAGTATGTGAAATCGCAAGTGTTTGAAGATTTTATTACGTACGCGTTCAAGAATCTGTGAATCTTCTAGATAATAGAGTTAAATGCGTATAAGCTTAAAAGTGAAAGTGCTTGAGTGTCCTGTTGATTCTTTGCTTTAAAAATGTAGCTGTCTGGTTTGCTTCTGTCCCCGTGGAATACAATGTGCATTTAAGTGATAGATTGTACTTACTGTGGCTGCAGATAATAAATTCCTCTTGCTGAGCGCATGTCCCTTCTTTGGCAAAGACTTGGAAGTTTGCTCAGGTCCACTCGCTCCTTCCCTTCTTTGTCTCCTCTTGTGGGGTTTTCTGGGCTCTGGCAGGCAGCTGAAGTAGTTTCTCACTGTGATTAATTCTAGCAATCGCTTTTCACCCCTTCTGCCTTTCCAAAACATTGACAAGACTCATTTCCAGTTAATTAATTCGAGAGATGGCAAAGAATAGAGGGCTCTCGCTCTTCACTTCAGGTCCTGGGCGGTGTTGTCACTGAGCCCTGTCCCTCTGGGGGGACAGCGAGTGCGGGGACATGTGGGCCATTAACTCTTCCCATTCCAGATCACCCTGGACTAGGCATCCCCAGACCCCTGAGGCTTACCAGCCAGTGCCCGCGTCAATCACTGCCCTGGCTGTAAGCGGGAAGGAAGATCTCACGGTTGTCTGTGTGTGCAGAACCTCAGCATTAAAGGTTCATCCGGGGCTTCCTCAGTTTAAAAAGCATGGGTCTCGGGAAGGCACCGCTCAGTTTTGGCCGGGGCAATGGAACTGCACAAGTAGCTTGGGGGAACAGGGGCATCTTGACCCGTGTGTGTCGGTGTGCACACACTCAGAGGTAGCTCTGGATCAAACGAGCACTGCAGTCTTTGTAACCACCCAGCTCACTAATGTAATCAGTAAGTGCTCGGGGCGGGTCACCTTGTGAATGCTTCACATGTGTTGTCTTCTGGAACAGCTGTGTTACTGAGCTGAACCATCACGTGAAACCTTGCATGGTTCCTGTTGAACCTTCTGAAATGAAAATGGCTAAGACCCAACCAGAAGTTTTCCAGAAATACTGATTGTTCCAAAGTAAAGTGCTCCTAAGTTTTTGTAGCTGTGCTTAAATTGCTTTGTAGGGAAAAAAAAAACAAAAACCAGCTAAAGCATGTTAAGAATGAAATAAAAGTTTTCCCACGTGCAGTCTAATGTCTACTATATAACTGAGGAAATGCCAGCTTCTGCGACTGCAGTCATCTATGAATAACGTTTACTTCTGTCCTTTGTGACATTCCGTTGGTAAAGAATCCTTTGCAAAATCCAGAATGCACGAAGCAGCCCTTCTCTTCAGGACACAAGGAGTTAAACCCCTCGTCTCTAACTAGAAGTCTGGCCAAAGGGGAAAGCAGTGGGGGTCCCTTTTCCTTCTAACAAGTCTGCAATAGACACTTCTTTTTTTTCCTGTCTGAATGGATGTGTGCACACCAGTGGCATCACACAAACATGTCAGTATAAGCCATGCAATAACAACACACATACATCACAGGGAGCCTTGTGAGAATACAGAATGGGATGCGGACTGTGTGTTTTCTAAATAGGAAATGCAGGGCTTGCATAGTGAAAACATGCTGATGGCTGCATTGTGGCCGCGTTTGATGCCTCCCGACACACTAATTCCTGAACACAACAGCCTCCCTGTCCTCTGCCAGGGACTTGGAGCTTCTGAGAGCCTTGTTTTACACGCTACAGAGGATTAAAGCACCACCTCAATCAGTCATTTAGAAGGAGAGGGAAAAAAAAAGGCAGCCCAGCCTTACAGAATTTGTAAAGAGAGCGGTCACAGCAAGTTTTGTGACTGTATTATTGCTTTCAAGAGCAGACTGACAAAGCAGTTCAGTTTTGTAGCCTGGTCTGTTCTAAGAGATAGCGGAGGAAGGCCTTTCTGCTCAGCATCAAATCTGAGCGTTTACAGCGTGATGTCTTTTAATACTTTAACAACGGATGTTAGTTTTTCAGAAGTACTTGTTTTCACAATTTTAGTCATAAACTATTAGAATTTGTCTTTATGTCGATTCTATTAATACACCTCATAGGTTTGACTCTTTTGGAAGCTGATACCAGATGCATTTTTGTTCGGTAACTTCTGAAACTGACCAGAATGCTTTGGAAGCTGCCGAAGGAAGCCCGTTTGAGGAATGATCGAGGTCATATGGGCTATTAGTAAATCTCAAATCAGAAATTGAGATTTTTCCATGTGTATATCTTGTGTCCATTAGCTTCTGAAGGCATTGATCTGCAGCTGTCACAGTGACAGCTGGCATCTAAATCTTAAATTTTTTGTGCTCTTGATCTGTAATATTTATATGAATAATGATAAATATGCATGGGTAAACCAAGGTTTGGGGACAAAAATGCTTTGTTTGCAAGAAGACCTAAATATATATTTATATAAAATACTGTCAGTAAATTCTGCACAGAAAGGAATCAGTCTGTGTCTGAGAGGCAGTAAGATAAGACAGAATTTTTAAATGCAGGGAAGGGAGGGAAGTACCTTAACATTTAAGAGAAAAGGTCCTTTCAGTGCTGTCCAAGGTTCTGATAATTTCAGCTATAGTGGCCTGAATATGGAAAATCAGTTAAAAACCTTTTAAAAAAGAAATTTAGATTTTTTTCTCCCCTTGTATTTATATGATGGAATATCTTATTTTCTTCTTCCCTACGTATTTTAATATGTTTTTTGGATTTTTCATATTTAGATGGCATTTTACAAAATAAACATGATTTACCATCTATAATATATATGAATTTTAAAGGTAAGCTTTTTCTGTAGATGCATTGCTTACAATTTGTTCATGTCTTCCCTCATCACAACCAAAAACAATTATGTCGAAGAAATGACTTTCTGAAGGCTTTGATAGTTGTTTATTTCTGCTTAAATTGAAACCTTAAATTAGGAAATTAAGTAAAATGTTTCTTTTTGTTTAAGCAACACAGTCTGCATTGCTCATTTGCATATAAAGTTGCGTTACACTTTTCCTTCAGTTAAGCAGGCCCTTGCGTGGTGTTTTACAGCCTGGATAAGTTTTTACCACCACCGTGTGCAGTGTGGTGGTCAAGAGCATAAACTCGGAATGGGTGCTGGAGTCCAGGCCCCTTCTTTAACCTGCGAGACTACGGGCAGATACTCTCATCACGAAAATGGGGCTTGTAAAACGTGCGGCCTCTCCGAGTGTGTAAGGATGAGCGTGAATGTGTGTGGAAGTGCTTAGGACAGTGGCTTATGCGTGGGAAACACTCGTGCTACCGTTGCCATTTTTAAGCCTCTGACACCGTCATTGTGAGCGTGTCTGAGGGCATGTGCGGAAACTGTCTTGTCTTCTGCTCCTCCTCTCAGCCCACCAGAGTGCTGGGTATACAGTAGGTGCTCACTAAGTGTATTTTGTTTCTTTTGTGGATTCTTGTAAGGTGCTTTCCATGTACCAGGCAATGTTCTAAGCACTTCAAAAATATTAACCACTAATCCTCACAGCAGTTAGGCAGTCTGTTCCAGTATTAATCCCATTACATGGATGAGGAAGTTGAGTTGCAGAGGTTAATGCCTGGGGTCACACAGCAGTAGATGCTTAATGAATAATTGCTGTGGTTAATTAGCAGGGAGTGAATGAGGGGAAAAATACTGCTTCTTTCCCCAGAAGCAGAGAAAATAAATGCAGCAGAGATGCCTAAATTGTGGCTCTCGATACAGAGCCCCAGCGTGTCTTCACTCAGTCGTGTCCGACTTTTTGTGACCCCATGGACTGTAGCCTCTGAGGCGCCTCTGTCCATGGGATTTTCCAAGCAAGAGTACTGGAATGGGTTGCCATTTCCTTCTCCAGGGGATCTTCCCAACTCAGGGATCGAAGCCGGGTCTCCTGCAATGCAGGCAGAGGCTTTACCCTCTAAGCCACCAGGGAAGCTGTATGGGGAGAGCACGATTAGAAAAACCCAAACTCACATCTCAGCTCCACCTCCTGTCAGCTCTGTGGCTTTGCTCAGGCTGCGTGACCACTCTGAGCCCGTTTCCTTCTTGAGCAGCATACCAGGCAGGTCCTCGGATACAGCACTAAACAGGACACAGTCCATGGTCCCCTGAAGCTGACATTCTGATGAGAAGGAGCAGATAGCAACAAGAGCATCACATACTCTAGTCCGTGCGGTGAAGAAAACAAGGTGAGAATGTAGTTTAGTTCTGACTTCAGGTGAGCAAGGAGGGAGCAGCAGGAGAGAACTCACCTCTTGTGCATCTTGGACGATGCTTCCCTCTCCTTGAGTAAACTCAGGGGTGGTAGTTGTGAGCAGCCCACGGGAGGGACAGCGTTTCCAGGGCAGTTGGGTCGTTTTCTTCCCCCCCTTCCCTCCCTCCCTCCCTCACTCTCCCCCAGCTGGGCCTCAGCTGTCCCTTGCCGCCAGCCAACTGTCTCGAGACTACTTGTGGATGTTCTTGCCCTGATCTGCACGATGGATGGAGCCATCCTGTGGTCAGCATGCAGTGGTCTCTTCTCTCAGTGAATGGTAAAAATAGTAAAGGAGAGTAAACATTTGATGACTATACTTGTAGAGTTTTCCTGTTTTTGATTTATAGAACAATATGCCCAACAACTGCAGAGTACATGTTCTTTTAAAGTATCCATGGACTCACTTACCAAAAATTGGTCCTTTTGCTGTGCCCTAAGACAGGTCTGAATGAATTTCTAAGGATTGAAACCATACACACAGTATGTTCTGACCCTAGTACAATTAAGCTACATATCAATACCAGAAAGGTAAGTGGAAAATTCCTTCGATTTTGTAAATTAAATAATGTGTTTTTCAAATACCTAAGGGTCAAATGAAGAAATAGAGATTAGGAGATATTTTTAACTGGATGTTAATGAAAATGCTACATGTCAAAGCTTGCAGGCTGCAGGACCTTCCCTGGCCGGTCCAGTGGCTCAGACGCTGTACTTCTAAGGCAGGGGGCATGGGTTTGAGCCCTGGTCAGGGAACTAAGATCCCACGATGTCACATGGTGCTGCCACACACACACACAAAAAATCGTGGGCTGCAGCTAAAGCTATTTTTAGATGGAGATTTATTACCATAAGTGCTTCTCTAAGACAAGACAGAAAACCAATAAGCTAAGCATTATCTTAAATAGGAAAAACCACAGTTGAAGGATAATAAAGGAATAAATATGAGAGCAGAAAATAAACTGGAAGCAACCACAATAGTAATAAAAAAAACCAGAAAATAAGAAACATACAAAAAAGATAAAGCCAAAAAATTGGTTCCTTGAAAAATACATTAAATTGAGAAATTTGTGGTAAGACCAGTAAAGAAGACACCTAGAAAATCATTATCCCTATAGATCTTGTGGACGTTAAAAGTCCTTAAAAGAATACTGTGAATATTTTATGTTAGTGAATTTGAACTTTTAAGATGACATGGACAAATTCCTTAACAAAAAAGAAAAGAAAATCCTAGTTTTAATATTGACTCTTTAATACTTCCACAGAGAAGACTCCAGGCTCAGTGTCAGCAACAGATTCTACCAACATTTAAGAAATACTGCCAACCACACACAAAATTCCAGAAAAGGGGGCAGTTTCACAAATTTTTGTAAGGCCAGCATGATCCTGATGTTAGTCTCATGCCTGAACATAGATCCATCCAAACGTCCTGAACACATTACTAACAAACCATATTCTAGGGATGCAAAGATTGGGATCACTTTTTTTGAAGTAATAAACTGAATTAACAAATTAAGACAATCACATTTCATGCAGAAAAAAATTCACAAATTCAGCATCCAACAGATTTAAAACACCTTAGCATGTTAGGAACAGGAGGTCAGTTGCTTGGTCATGTCCGACTCTGGGACCAAAGGAATGTAGCACACCAGGCTTCCCTGTCCTTTACCATCTCCTAGATCTTGCTCAAACCCATGTCCATTGAGTCAGTGATGCCATCCAACCATCTCATCCCCTGTCACCTCCTTCTCCTCCTGCCTTCAGTCTTTCCCAGCATCAGGGTCTTTTTCAATGAGTCAGCTCTTTGCATCAGGTGACCAAAGTATTGGAGCTCCAGGATCAGTCCTAATGAATATTCAGGGTTGATTTCCTTTAGGATTGACTGGTTTGATCTTGGAGTCCAAGGGACTCTCAAGAGTCTTCTCCAGTACCACAGTTGGAAAAGATCAGTTCTTCAACAATCAGCTGCCTTAATGGTCCAACTCACATCCATACATGACTACTGGGAAAATTCTTGCTCTGATTGTATGGACCTTTGTCAGCAAAGTAATGTCTCTGCTTTTTAATACATTGTCTAAGTTTGTCATTGCTTTTCTTCCAGGGAGCAAGCATCTTTTATTCATGGCTGCAGTCACCATCTGCAGTGATTTTGGAGCCCAAGAAAATAAAAGTCTGTCACTGTTTCCATTTTTTCCCCGTCTATTTGCCATGAAGTGATGGGACCAGATGCCATGAATTTAAGCCAGCTTTTTCTCTCCCCTCTTTCACCCTCACCAAGAGACTTTTTAGTTCCTCTTCACTTTCTGCCATAAGGGTGGTGTCATCTGCATATATGAGGTTATTGGTATTTCTCCCAGCAATCTTGATTCCAGCTTGTGCTTCATCTAGCCTGACATTTTGCATGATGTACTCTGCATATACGTTAAATAAGCAGAGTGACAATATACAGCCTTGATGTACCCCTTTCCCAATTTGGAACCTGTCTGCTGTTCCATGTCGGCTTGGTTCTTGACCTGCATACTGGTTTCTTAAGACAGGTAAGGTGGTCTGCAGCAGTCCTGGGAGGCGAGGCAGGCTGACATAAGTCCTTTTGGAGGAGGTTGCCTTTACTTCTGCCATGGTTTGATCTCAGGCCAAACTACAGGGAGGGAACACAGCCCCACCCATCAGCAGAAAATTGGATTAAGGATTTATTGAGCATGGCTTTCCCTACCAGAGCAAGACCCAGTCCTTCCTATCAGGAAACTTCCACAAGCCTCTTATCCTCATCCATCAGAGGGCAGACAAGAATGAAAACCACAATCACAGGAAACTAAGCAAACTGATCACATGGACCACAGCCTTGTCTAACTCAATGAAACTATGAGCCATGCCATGTAGGGTCACTGAGGACGGCTGGGTCATGGTGGAGAGTTCTGACAAAACATGGTGCATGAGAAGGGAATGGCAAACCACGTCAGCATTCTCACCTTGAGAACCACATGAACAGTATGAAAAAGAACAGGAGGGGAAGTTCCTCGTTCTGATGAGTTACCTGCGAACGTGCGCTCAGCAGATACCAGGCAATGAAGAAATGTTGAAAATTGTCCTCTTGACATTACAAAGGCGAGGTTTTAGTCACAGTTCACCACTTAAAATGGAAAGGTGAAATAGCCAATGAAAAACACCAAGAAAGGAGGTGGAAGGAGGAGAAAAACTCAGAATTGTTGATACAGCTAATGCAGAAGGCGTCTGTACATAAAGTTAAGATGAATCAATGAAAATAGCAAGGTTACTGAATATAAGATTAATATACAAAGATACATTGAATTTATACAGACTATCTACAAACATTTAGGAAATAAAAAAATTTTAATTTAAAAATGTATAAGGGGGAAAAAAAGGTAAAAGGAAATGCAAAAAGCCGAAAACAGCCAAGACACTGAAAGAAGAGCACAGTGGGTCGAGAGAACACAGTGGGTTGAACAACTGAAAGCCAAGTTTCCGTAGGGCAGTATGTGTCGGCACAAGGATAAATAAATAACCAGAGAAACAGCAGAGGCCATAAACAGACCTTCACAAGTGGACACTGGGTGTATATTTAGAGTGGCGTCACAGAACACGGGGAGAGGGGGACCTTTCCATCAAATCCCGCTGAGACCATTGAATATCTAGAGAGGGCAAAGGGGCGAAGTGACCCCTACCTTGTATCATGTGAAAATGTCCCTTCCTACTTGGATTGTCAGTCTGAAAATAGGAAAAACAAACTGCTAGGAGTTATAGAAAATGAATCTCACTTTAGGGTAAGATTTCTTAACTGTGTTACAAAAGTGGTTAAAATGGGCTTTATTAACAGCTCCAGAATCACCTGTAAGATCGTGAGAAGGCAATGGCAGGAGTGTGTGGGACTGCAGCCACACTCAGCGGGGTGGGCGCCCAGCATCCAAGTTTAAGGCACCACACAGGTGATTACTGTAGGTGCCTGTGGGCTGTGGCCCGCCAGGCTCCTCTGTCCATGGGATTCTCCAGGCAGGAGTACCGGAGTGGGTAGCCATTCCCTTCTTCAGGGGATCTTCCCGAGCCGGGGTCTCCCCCGTTGCAGGCGGATCCTTTGCTGTCCGAGCCAGCGGGGAAGGCCCACTGTGCGACTTTCTGTAGAGTTCACCTCATCCTGCTTGCCGCTGGCCCGGGCCGTGTCTGGTCGGGAGGTCTGTGCCCCCTCAGAGCGCGCGCTGGTGGTCCCTGACGGCACGAAGGGGGTGGGTTCTGTCCCAGTGCCCGCACCTGTGAGGTCAGCCGTGTGCCCGAGGGATTTCCTCCCGGCCCTTCCTTCTGGTGTCCCCGGCCTCCTCGTGCAGCCGAGGGCCAAGTGGGCACACATGTCTGGCCGGAGTGTCCCAAGGGAAAAGGTACCGTGAGGACACACACCACCCTGTGCCTGGAGAGCGCGTCGGGCTGGGCCTGAGGAGCCAGTCACCCCCGGACCCCAGAGCTGGGCGTGAGGGGCGGGCGCGAGCCAGGGTGGTTCAGGGGAGGATGAGGGGCAGGGAGCGGGAGACGGCGACGGGGAGGGCGTGGATCCACAGCCTTGTCTTCAGCAGGAGGCCCCGGGCAGGGAGCCCTTGCTGCCGGGCCAGGGCCTGGAGGACTGACTCATGGGGTGCGTGGCTCACTCCTGGGAGCAGGAGGCAGCAGCCCGTGCCACCTTGGGGCGCAGGAAAGGTGGGCAGAGTGCCAGGCCCCGGCACAAGGCCTCTTCCAGGTCCACGTGAGCCTGAGCTTCCTCCTCGGTGAAACGCCAAGGACAGTGCAGCATCTGCATGTTGATGTCGGGCTTCTCCAGGGAAACAGATCCCACGGAATGTCTGCACACATCCTAAGAGATATGTCGAAGGTGGTGTTGCCTGTGGCTCTCTGGAGGTGGCAAGTCCAGGGGAACCAGCGGTGAAGCCCCGGCCTGCAGATCTGCAGGCTCGATCCCCAGGAGGAGCCAGAGTTACTTCCAGTCCAAAGATGGTAAGAAAGCCTGTGTCTCAGCTCCAGGCAGGCAGGCAGGAGGAGCAGCCCTTTGTCCGGGGCGTGTTGGCCGCCTTGTGTTCAGGCGGCCCTTGCAGGGAGGGCCGTCTGCTCCGCTTACCGGATTCGAGTGTGACTCAGGCTTCCCGACATGCCCACAGTCATTTTTGACCACTTGTCCACGGGTGGCCCGGGCAGGTTGGCTCAGAATGACCATCGCCCCTTCTCAAGGTCCTGGGAGGGTCCACGAGCCGGGGGGCATGCAGGTGCCTCGTCGCAGCGGCCACAGGGGAAGGGACCCTTAGCTGGCACTGCTGCCCCCATGGGCCTGTGTCAACAGCTTGTTGGGCCGCCTATGTCCCTGCTGGGCTGGCCGGCCAGGCAGCAGGGTCTGTGTCTCATGTGCCCTGTGTATTTGGTGCTGTGCAGGGCTTCATCATGTCACCTATATTCATGTGTAGAAGCCCTGACCCCCAGCACCTCAGGATGTGACTGAATTCAGAGACAGGACCTTTAAAGAGGTGACTTGGTTAAAATGAGGCTGTCCGTGTAAACCCAGTTCAGTTCAGTCTCTCAGTCGTGACCAACTCTTGACCCCATGAACCGCAGCACGCCAGGCCTCCCTGTCCATCACCAACTCCCGGAGTTCACCCAAACCCATATCCATTGAGTCGGTGATGCCATCCAACCACCACATCCCCTGTCGTCTCCTCCTCCCGCCTTCAGTCTTTCCCAGCATCGGGGTCTTTTCCAATGAGTCAGGTCTTCACATCAGGTGACCAAAGTATTGGAGTCTCAGCTTCAGCATCAGTCCTTCCAATGAATATTCAGTACTAATCTCCTTTAGGATGGACTGGTTGGATCTCCTTGCAGTCCAAGGGACTCTGAAGAGTCTTCTCTAACACCACAGTTCAAAAGCATCAATTCTTTGGTGCTCAGCTTTCTCTATAGTCCAACTCTCACATCCATACATGACTACTGGGAAAACCATAGCCTTGACTAGATGGACCTTTGTTGGCAAAGAGATGTCTCTGCTTTTTCAAATGCTGTCTAGGTTGGTCATTGCTTTTCTTCCAAGGAGCAAGCGTCTTTTAATTTCATGGCTGTAGTCACCACCTGCAGTGATTTTGGAGCCCAGAAAAATAGTCTGTCTCTGTTTCCATTATTTCCCCATCTATTTGCCATGAAGTGATGGGACTGGATGCCGTGATCATAATTTTCTGAATGTTGAGTTTTAAGCCAACTTTTTCATTCTCCTCTTTCACTTTCATCAAGAGGCTCTTTAGTTCCTCTTCACTTTCTGCCATAAGGGTGGTGTCATCTGCGTTTCTGAGGTTATTGATACGTCTCCCAACAAGCTTGATTCCAGCTTGCTGTGCTTCATCCAGCCCGCATTTCTCATGATGCACTTTGCTCATGTGTGGACCCAGTCCAGTCTGATCAGTGTCTCCGTGTAAGAAGGGCACTGGGACACACAGGGGCCGGTGTGCTCAGAGGGTGGCCGTCTGCAGTCTCGGGAGAGGCTCAGAGGGAGCCAGCCCTGTGGACGCGTGATCTCAGACACACGGGTCTGTGAGAGTGCACGTCGGTGCCCCCTCACGCCCACGCGCATCTCAGCGTCAGTGCCCCTGGAACTCTGCAGAACCTTTGTTCCCACTCACATGCGTTCCTACTGTTTGCACTCACTCTCTGCCTCCCCGGGCCCTTGAGCAGGCACTGCAGCATTTCTCACTCCCAGACCAGCATGCCTTCCCGCCTGGGCCCCCATCCCTCACCCTCCTGTCAGCGGGGGAGCCCGCCTCGCTAAGGGCTGGGCCTTCCTCACAGGCCGTCGTGCCGCTGGCCCTTCCCCCCCAGGATCCTGGCCTCAGCAGCGTCTTATCTTCAGCCTCTCCGTCCTTGCTTCCTTTCCAACAGGCTCAGGTTTCACTCACCTTTAAAAAAAAAAAAAATTTTCAGATACCCTCATTATTTAGCTCATTTGTCTTCAAACTTTTTGTTCACGTTTCACTAAAAGAACTTTGGAAAAAGCTACACCAACATTTCAAGTTGATATCTTTTTTCATCTTAAATCTTTATAGTTCTAAATGATATAATTTGCAACAAACAGCAGAGATGCTTTAAAGAGAACTGTTAGCATCACACCTTTAATGATTTTAGTAGAATTGAAATATAGAAAAATGTGGTTCCAGACATAATCCATTTTAAAAGTGAACGTGTTTTCTTTTAATATTTGGAACTATTATTTTTACTTTCATCTGGAATCTGCATTTATATTTTATTCTAGTCACAGAATTTTATCCTAATGTAGTATTTGTATGCTTGCAATCACACAGAGTATTACAATTTCACATACAGAATAAAATTTTGGCCAGAGCAGAACTAAACTAAAATCTATGAAAAAAAAAAAAAAAAAGATACCTGGAAAGTATCTGAATATTTGGAAACTTAAAAGCACACTGCTAAATAGCCTGTGGGTGAAAGAAGAGATTATGAAACAAACTAAATGTTTAAATGATAAGAGAAACACAATGCAGGGGTTGGTTCCAGGACCCACTTCAGATACCAAAGTCCATGGATGCTCAAGTCCTGTTGTCAGCCCCAGGTCCTGCATCTGTAGATACAACCAGTCGGATCATGTCTTGCAACAGTGTGGGGGGAGGGGGGGAATCTGAGTCTGAATGGACCCACCCCATTCAAGTCTGTGTTCAAACTGGAAAAAGAAGAGCTAATGAAACAGAGTAAGTTGAAGGAAGGGAACAAAACCGATAAAAAGCAGAAATCTATAAAATAGGAAATGGACACACAGTAGAGAAAAATCTGAAAGCAAAAGCTGGTTCTTTTAAAAAATCAATAAAGTTCACAAATCTCTAGTGTGAGCATGCTCGAGATAAATGCATAAGCTTGTCAATATCAGCAAGAAAGATGGGACATCACTACAAATCCTACAGACGTTAAAAGGAAAACCAGGGAATATGAGGGAAACACAAACAACTTTCAATTCAGTTCAGTCGCTCAGGTGTGTCTGACTCTTTGCGACCCCATGAACCGCAGCACTCCAGGCCTCCCTGTCCATCACCAACTCTCGGAGTTCACCCAAACCCATGTCCATTGAGTCGGTGATGCCATCCAACCATCTCATTCTCTGTCATCCCCTCTCCTCCTGCCCTCAATCTTTCCGAACATCAGGGTCTTTCAAAATGTATCAGCTCTTCGCATGTGGTGGCCAAAGTATTGGAGTTTCAGCTGCAACACCAGTCCTTCCAATGAATATTCAGGACTGATCTCCTTTAGGATGGACTGGATGGATCTCCTTGCAGTCCAAGGAACTCTTGAGAGTCTTCTCCAACATCATAGTTCAAAAGCATCAATTCTTCGGTGCTCAGCTTTCTTTATAGTCCAACTCTCACATCCATATATGACTACTGGAAAAACCATAGCTTTGACTAGATGGGCCTTTGTTGGCAAAGTAATGTCTCTGCTTTTTAATATGCTGTCTAGGTTGGTCATAACTTTTCTTCCAAGGAGTAAGTGTCTTTTAATTTCATGGCTGCAGTCACCATCTGCAGTGATTTTGGAACCAAGAAAATAAAGTCAGCCACTGTTTCCCCATCCATTTGCCATGAAGTGATGGGAGCGGATGCCAAACAACTTTATGCAAAAAATAATTGAAGAAAGCAAATTATTTCTGTTTACAGACATGAATTATCGAAATGGACACAAAAACAAATAGAAACTCCCAGATAGTCCTGTGTCTGTTAAGGAAATGTGCGATTGATCTTTCCACAAAGAGAATCCCAAGCCTCTGTCTTCACTCTCAAAGCCTCTAATGCACGCTGCATCTGGCAGCCAGGGTGGTCTTTCTGGAGCATCAGTCTGTCCCGTCATCCCCTGCCCCGAAGAGTGGCTTATTCCCCAGAGTGACTCTGAAGGCAGGCTGAGCCCACCTCCTCACAGCCTCGTCTCTGACCACCGTCCTTCCCCATCCTGTGCACCCCCCCACACACACTCGGTAGTGTGCACATGCCTGGCTTCTACCCCGCTCGTTCTCCGCTGGCAGCACCCGGTACCCCCACCAGGGGACGTTTCGGAAAGCCTGGGGGCGCGAGTTGTCACACGCACCATGGATGTCGTCTGAGCAGGCAGAGCGGCCAGACATCCAGTGGTGCCTGGATCAGACCCCACGGTGAAGGCTCACCCTGCCCTGCCGTGCTGACTCTTCTCTGGGGGAAGAGACGCTGTTGGCTCTGCCTGCAGGCCTCGTTCACCTGGCTGTTCCCCACTCGGGGCAGGCTTCAGGGCTCTGCCCCCCTAACACACTCCTACTGCTGCTGCTGAGTCGCTTCAGTCGTGTCCGACTCCGTGCGACCCCATGAACAGCAGCCCGCCAGGCTCCCCCGTCCACGGGATTCTCCAGGCGAGAATACTGGAGTGGGTCACCATTTCCTTCTCCTCCCTACACATTGACTGCGTCAATTTTGCCTCCCTCCTCCTGCGCCCTTTTCATTAAAGTAAAAGATTCAGTTCTAGGAGCGGAGACTGTTCGTTTCAACATACCCTGACAATCAGTGCGGAGGGGCGGGGGCGTGCAGATTCTAACATTTACGGGGAACCACGGTTAAGCCTCCCCACTCTAGAAAGAGAGGCTCTGTCGTGATCTTCATTTTGTGAGTGGTTTCCCTGGCGCTCTGGCCCACACCTGGGCCCCGGGATGTGCCAGCCTCCTCTCCTCCCCACCCCCCTCCCTGGCCCGGTTCATCTTTGCTTTTTAATACCCTCCTCCATCTTTCCCCCACCGCTGGGCTCCTGTCAGGCTTTCCCCCTTCCTGCTCCCAGCCCAGCAGTGCCCGTCCACTGTGCCCGCCCTGGCGGGCAGAGAGCTGAGAGCCTGCGGGTTAACCCTGGGCAGGCCCAGAGCCACCCTCAGCTCTCGCCCGATGTGCTCCAGGTCTGCCGTCTCCTCTTAAACGTGTCGTGTGGTGATCGCAGGCGGTGGTCTTCCCGAGACCAGACAAGGAAGACGAGAAGGAACCCCCCCGACCCCCATCGCCACGCTCTTATCATTGACTCTGCTTCTCTGCGTGCCTTCGAAGGCTGAAGACCTGTCAGTCAAAGCAAGAGGATTAGCTTCACCCGTGTGAAGGGAAAATTGGGAAGGAAAAAAAAAAGATTCCTTGTCTGAACTTGAAAATAAAAATGCTGATGCGGTTTTTATTCCAGAAACATATCTTACTGATTAAGGGCACGCAGCGCTCCCGGCTCGTGGGTGGGCCAGGTCGTCCGCCTCCCCGTGCTGCGGGGCCAGGCCCGGCGGCAGAGGCAGGGGGCAGTTGGGGTGCCCAGTGCCCGTCTGCGGTGATGGTTGGCCGTGCACGTGGGCACATGCAGGGTGCTGAAACGGACCCCGTGAGGCAGGGCCCGTCCCTTCACTCAGCTCACCTTCGCGTCAGGGGGACAGAGAGGCAGCAGGTGGCCCTGGAAGAAGCGTGGATGTGGGGTCAGGTAGGGCTGGTCGAGGACCACTCCTCGTGAACTAGTGACCCTGGGCCGTGACAAGCCCCTTAGGCCCTCGTCTCACCATCTGTGAAACGGAGGTAGCAGCGCCTGCTTGGCAGAGGTTGAGATCATGCAAGGCCGACCACTGGCACCTGCCCACACAGGACAGACGCCCCACAATGGACCACCGGGCCAGTGCCAAGACGGCGGCCCAGAGCACACGCCGCCCCCTGCCCCGCCCTCGGACACCCGAGGCCACTGCCCCCTCCAGGTTCCTCTTTCAAGTTTCCCTGCCATGGGTTGGAGCGGCCTGGGCCCCGGCAGGCCTCAGTCTCCACGGCTGTGAGATGGGGCCAGCACCTTTGCACACCGCGACCACACAGGGCTTGTGGCTTGGCGTGGCTGCAGCGGCTGCTGCCAGGGGGGCAGCCTTCGCCAAGGGCTGGATTCCTCCCGGCCAGGCGCAGCTGGCACTTCCTCTAGTTTCACTGGGTTGGGTTGCAGAGCGATGGCACAATTGATAATGCCGTAATTGGGTTGACTTGGGCATTTTCCTAGGTACGGCTGCTGATGACTCATGCTCGGAAAGTCAACATTCCACTACCGTCAGGCCCAGGAGACAGTTCGGTAGCCTCATGGGGATTCGAGTTTCACAACTTCGGTGTCTGGATGTGAGGTCCTTGAGTCACAGAGATTCCGCACCTCAGGAGACGTTTAGGTGGGGCCTTTGTTCCCCGGGTCCCACGCAGAGAGGCTTTTCTTTGAGGCGTTGAGCTGGCACCTAGAGGGTTTCCAGCTGCAGTCTGTTCCCAGCAATTAAGATCCTGTAAATAATAAATCCACTCTGGAGCCCAGCTCCTGAGGCCCTCAGCCCCTCCTGGCCTCTCTCCTCCTCCCTGCGTTCTCGGTCTTTCCAGCTACGTCCTCCCTGCTCGTCCCCTTCTCTTGATTGCTCTGTTTTCTTCTGCTTCTTTCTGGGGTCCCCCTTCCCCCTTGGTGCTGGGCGCACTCATTCCTTGCCCCCCACAGTGGGCACAGAGCTGGCTGGAGTTTGAGGGTGGCGGGGGCAAGCGAGACCCAGGGGAGGGGCAGGTCCTGGGGGATCTCACAGACTTGGTGTGGGGTCCTGGGCTCAAGAAGGCGCGCAAGCGGCGCTCTCCCGTGGGCCCCTGTGAATCTGGCCTCCGGCCCGCGGTGCCGCATGGCACCTGCCAGTCAAAGCAAGACTGGCTGTGGGGGGAGTGGAGCCCTGGGGGGCCCGGAGTGGGCTGCCCTCCTCCTGTGCCCACATGTGGTTGACGGCGGTCACAAGTGCCCTGTGCAGGCCGGGTCCCTGCCCTCAGAAGCTGACGTCCAGGGGGGTGGATCCCGACGCCAGTTACAGGACGACCGCTGGTGAACTGCTGGGGAGGGGACGAGCTGGTGGGTGGGGGGAGGAGGGGGACCCTGTCAAAGGTGCCAGGCAGCCTACACATGCCCACAGCCCCGCGGAGGGACCAGGGCCCCGGCTCCCCAAGGTGGACCCAGCCCCTCCTTCCTGGCTGGGTGGCCTTGGGCAAGTTGGTCCACCTCTCGGGGCATCAGTTTCCTTCTCTATGAAACCAGCAGAGGGACAGTGGTCCCGACCTCCGGGGGCTGCTCTGAGGGCCCCATGAGATGGCACGCACACAACAGCTCGGGGTCACCCTGGGCCCCTCTTGCTTCCCCGATCCGGGGCCGCAGGCCGGGACAGGAGCTTTCGGGGCAGAATCCAAGCCGGGCAGGTGGAGGGCCTCCAGGCAGAGCTGGCTCCCCAGCCCCGGGGAGGAGGTGTGCGGCCCAGAGGCAAGCCTGCACTGCCCTCTGGGGGACGGCCCTGGGCACGGGAGCCTGGCCCCCAGATGCCCCCTGGGGGCTGCCCCTGCATCTCCCTCCATCCCGCGGCCCCCCGCTCACTGTGGGCTCCCGTGACTTCCACAGTGGAGCCTGGACACCTCCCCTCCAGAGACCGCACTGGCAGCCCTGGCTCGGGTCCTCGGTGCCCCTTCTCCCCATGATGGTGCGGATGGGAGCTGGCACATGTCCGGCACCCCCCTCCTGCGGATAAGAGGCTCACACCAGGCGCTGCCCCTCAGCAGTCTCTGGGGCGGTGCCACCATTAGTTCCATATTACAGATGAGGAAACCGAGGCTCAGAGGGCCACGCCAGGGACCCGCTAAGCCTCCGCCTCCCGCGGGCACAGCCTGAAACTTGTCCCTGCCAACAGCCGCCTCTAGTTCCAGGTGCCCCCAAGCCATGGCCCCCCCACCTGCTCCCCGCATCCTCCCACCACCCACCTCCACACTGGACCCTTCCACGGACTCCCTCTGTCTCTGTCACCCACGCTCGGCTCAGGGCGTCCTTCATTTCCATCAGCGCCTGCACATGCAGCCCCAGCCCCTCTCCCACGGGGAACTCTTCCTCTCCCGCATCACCCCAACTGCGGTTAGATCCTCCTGCTCTCTTCCTTGGGGAAGCATCAGCCACGCAGCAGGGCAGTGCCGCGTGCAGCACCTGAGCACCTCTGCCCACGGGTCACACCCCTGCCCCCTGCGCCCCATGTCCTAGACTCTGCCCCGCGGGCCCCCCGGCCCCCGGCTCAGGGTCTTCCCTCACGGGCTCTGCACATGGCAACCAGAGGGCCCCTGCCCAAGCCCCCGGAGACCATCACGTCTGTCAGCGGGTGACAGGCATGCAGAGCTCCCCGGATGCGGCTGTGGCCCTTTCCCCCTGTCCCTGCCCACGGCTGCCAGCCGCCCTCCTCCTCCAGCTCCTTGTCCTCCGCCAGCCCACAAAGCCCGTCCTTCTCCAGGGTGCGGATGGTGGAGTTCTCTCTTGGGCATCCACTTGCTCCTGGAAACCTGGCCAGTTTCAAAGCTTTAAATAGCAGCCATAACCTGACGGCCGCAGACTCGCCATCACACGTCCCAGCACCGCGGTCTAAGCCTCCACGACACCCGCCCCGTTGTTCCCCGGGGTGCTGGGGATTTGCCTGCTTATCTTCTGCCGAAAGTCCCCCAGGCCCTGCTCTTGTCCAGGGCAGGGCCGAGCGCCCCGGGGGTTGGCGGGGCTGCCTGCGCAGGCCGGCCCTCCCCGAGCGCCCCTCCCACAGCATCTGCCCGGCTCGCCCCCTCCCCTGCCCCGTGTGTGCTCCGGCGCTTGGTCCCCTCCGACCGCACCAGGCTCCACCGTCCGTGGGATTCTCCAGGCAAGAACACCAGAGTGGGTTCCCGTTTCCCCCTGCAGGGGATCTTTCCGACCCAGGGAGGGACCGCGTGTCTCGCCTCTCCTACACTGGCAAGTGGGTTCTCGCCCCTGCGCCCCAGCAGCCTGTTCTCCTGGCCCTGGCTGAAACGCCCCCTTCTCGGCGAGCCCGCCGCTCAGGCCCTTCCCCGCAGCAGCCCTGCCTGCCCCGCCGTGTGCGGCCGCCCGCCGGCCCAGGGCTGGGCCGCGCGCTCCCGGGTTCCTGAGAGGAAGGGCTTCTCCCTCTCTACTCGCTGCTTCATACCCCACGCCCAGAGCAGCCCTGGCACACAGCAGGTGCCCGGGACTTGTCCGCCGAGTGAACGGCACAAGGCCGGCCCTTGGCCCCGTTCTCAGAACGAGGCGTCCCAGCAGGGAGGTGCCGGGGCACATGCTCTCTGGCCCCCACCTGCCAGCCTTCAAGTGGTTTCAAGTCAGGTTGGGTGGGCTCGAGTCCACTCAGCATCTCTCCAGGGCCAGAGCAGGTGGTCCTGACCCCAGCGCTCTGGACGCTCCATGGGTCAGCATCAAAGCCAGATTAGCTTGAGCTCAGCCCCGGCTGCCACATTCTTGTGACAGTTATCGGCTGGGAGATTCAGCGGCTCCAGTTTCAGACTTGGACTCAGACCTCTGGGAGCCCCTACCGTGAGGGCATGCACACACACACACACACACACACACACACACGCACACGCACACATGCACTTGCGCATACGCATGCGTGCACATGTGTACGCACCTGCACGCACACACACATGTACACACACACACACAGGCATGCGTTGTTTAGGGAGCCAGGGGCCCTTGCCTTTGCTGATAGCTCGCCATAGCCCTGGGTTCGGACTCGACCCCAGAGAGCCGGCACTGGCAGCCCCTCCTGTCAAGGCGGTCTTGCCCAGCGTCTCACAGCACAGCCAAGGACCCTGCCCAGAGGCAGAATGTGGTTTGCATCACCTTTTACTCCCAATTCCAAGGGCCTTATTGCTCTCCTGTGCCACTTTACAGGACAAGCACCAGCCTCAGTAACTGCTGCCCAAGTGGAAATGCATAAGGAGGTCGCCCTGGTCACGGCGTGAACCAAACCAGGTGACCAACGGGAAGGGCCCAAAGCACGGAGGCGCAGGGGCCTCTCGAAGACGGGGTGGTGATGACTGGCTACTGTCACTAATTCCATCGATGCGCCCTCAACTACAGTACGCTCCTCCACGGCTGTTACTGTGTCTTGCCCTCTTCGGGGTATATTGCGTCACACTCTTCTCACTGACCCGTCACACCACGAACCTTCCTTGCTGGGACATCAGTCTTTTTCTCCAACTCAGGAGAAAACCGCTCCCTGATCACCAACCGGAACCAGAGCTCGGGGTTCCCGCCCCTCTCGGTGAACACCAGGCTCCTTTTATCCGAAGCAGCAGAGACCGTGAGCATCCCTGCTGACCAGGGGGCCGGCTCGTCTGCGTCCAGGTAACGTGTCCTTCCCTGACCAGCCCAGGCACATCGAATTCGATTGCATCGAATCACATTTCACTCCTTCTGCTGAAACCTCTATCTGTACCTTTTGCCACTTCTCTCCCCCTCCCCCACACTGGCTTTCTTTCGGGAGGCGTGGTGAGGACCCAGAGTCAGGAGGGGGCCCGTGCTCTGCCCAGCGTTCCAGGTCACACACCCAGCAAGGGGAAGGCAGCCAATACTTGGTGTGAAAAGAGAGAGTGCTTCTGTTTCTGGTCAAGATGAAGTAACAGGCTATTTTTACCACCACATGAAACAATCAATAAAGAAAGCTGAGCACCGAAGAATTGATGCTTTCGAACTGTGGCGTGGGAGAAGACTCTTGAGAGTCCCTTGGACTGCAAGGAGATCCAACCAGTCCATCCTAAAGGAGATCAGTCCTGGGTGTTCATTGGAAGCACTGATGCTGAAGCTGAGACTCCTGATGTGAAGAACTGACTCATTGGAAAAGACCCTCATGCTGGGAAAGATTGAAGGCAGAAGGAGAAGGGGATGACAGAGGATGAGATGGTTGGATGGCATCACCAATGCGATGGACATGAGTTTGAATAGGCTCCGGGATTTGGTGATGGACAGGGAAGCCTGGCGTGCTGCAGTCCATGGGGTTGCAGAGAGTCAGACATGACTGAGCCACTGAACTGAACTGAAACAACCAAAAGAACCAGACAGAATATATTCAATAGCAGTTTTCAAGACACTGGACATCAGGCAATGTGAGGAAATGAAGTGGCCTCTGAGAGACAGTAAACAAGGTGAGCTCTACAAGATGCCCGGCTTGCTGCCCTGAGAGCGCTCAGGCCACAGCACAGGGAAGGGGCCCCAGGAAGACCCTCGGAATCACCCTGAGTCCCAGAGATGGAGCTGAGAGTCCTGGAGGACCAAGGTGCTCGAGCTGATAGGCTTTGTATCAGAGAAGAGAGACCTGCACAGGAGCAGCTCCGGAGATGTCCCTAGGATGCCCCCCGAGTATTCCCCAAAGGACCGGTCCCTGCCTTTGTGTGCGGACGTTACTCAAGACCTGTGAGAGAATCATCCTAACGGATTAAAGGAAACAGTGCCCAGCGCTCCCACAGGGCCAAGACTAACGCTTGTTCCCACCAACTAGACTGGAAAACATCATAGTTCTGGTGAGTGAGACATTTGGGGGAAGAGCACAGGGGGAAGATAATTATCCCTTGACTGAATCCTTCCGCATACCTACCTAACATATCATGCAAGCGAGACCCCAAAGGATCACACTTCGTCAAAGTAGCCTATCTGCATCCCAGGTCACAGTTCAGGAATGTTCATGGAGATACAGTACTAGTTAATGCCCCCAAAGGTAAATTTTTACAAATGTCAAGGATTCCACCAAAGATTATGAGGCAGTCAAAGAAGCAGGAAGTGTGATCCATGATGAGGAAATAATCCATCAAAATTGACCCAGAATAGACACAGATGTTGGGACTTCCCTATAGCTCAGATAGTAAAGAATCTGCATGTAATGCAAGAGACCCAGGTTTGATCCCTGGGTCAGTAAGATCCCCTGGAGAAGGAAATGGCAACCCACTCCAGTATGCTTGCCTAGAGAATTCCACAGACAGGAAGCCTGGTGGGCTACAGTCCATGGGGTCGCAAAGAGTTGGACACATCTAAGCCACTAAAACACACAGACACAGATGTTAGGATCTAGCGGAGAAGGACATCTTAATTGTACTCTCCCCCTAGTTCAGATAATAGACATATAGAGGATAAAAAAAGACCCAAGTCAAACTTTACGAAAAACTGCAATGCACAATATTAAAAAATACAGTGGATGGAATTAACAGAAAGTTAGACATTAGAGGAGAGGTGGATGAACTTGAAGACATAGCAACAGAAACCATCCACGATGAAACACACAGAGGAAAAAGAATCCCCCGATGAAGAGAGCATCACTGAGTTGTGGGCCAGCTTCTAGCAGCCTAACCTACGTGTACTCAGAGTCCCTGAGGAGGCAGGAAACAAGAAAAATATTTGAAGAAATAACTGCCAAAAACTTGCCAAAAGGATGAAAGCTATAAATCCGTAGGTCCAAGGGCTCAACAAACTCCAAGCACAATAGTTATAGAGAAAAACAAGACACATCATCACCAAACTGCTCAAAGGCCGTGCTCAGGGTAAAAATCTTAAACAGAGGCCAGATAACAAGGAATATTACATAGAGATGAGGGAAATAAGCATGACAGCAGACTTCTTGTCAGAAACAACGCAAGTGAGAAGACAGTGAAGCAACACCTTTCAGTTCGGTTCAGTCTATACTTGTCTCTAAAACAAAGATATCTTTCAAAAGATAATGTCAGCAAATATACACCCAGTGAAATGGCGTTGAAAAGCAAAAGTGAAATAATAACATTTTCAAACATATAAAAGCAGGAAAAAAATTTATCAGCAACACACTTGAACCACACGAAATGTTAACATCCTTCATGCAGAGGAAAAATAATACCATCAGGAAACATGGGTTTAAAAAAGAAATTAAGAACACTGGAAATGGTATCTACATAGGTAAGTATGTAACTTATTTTTTTAATTTGAATCTCTTTAGAACATAGTTGAAAAGCCTAAACTATAAAACTTTAGAAGGTCTTTGTGATCTTAGGTTAGACAAAGATTTTTTAGGTATGGCACCAAAAGCATTATCCACTGAGAGACAAATTGAGACGTTTGACTTTATAAATATTAAGCTTTTTCGTTGTAGAAAACAAGCTTATGATAACCAAGGGGCTGCTGAGGGGGTGGGATGAATTGGAAGATTGGGGTTAACATAAATAACTGCTACATATAAAACAGATAACTAATGAGGACCCACTGCTCAGCGAAGGGAACTCTATTCAGGGCACTGTGGTGGCCTAGATGGGAAGGAAATCCAAAAAAGAGGGGATATAGCTATACACATAGCTGATTCATTTTGCCATACAGCAGAAACTAACAGCATTGTAAAGCAACTATTTGTTGTTGTTGTTTGCTGTTGTTATTTAGCCACTAAGTCTCATCCAACTCCCATGCAACCCCATGGACTGTAGCCCACCAGGCTCCTCTGTCCATGGGATTTCCCAGGCAAGAATACTGGAGTGGGTTCCCATTGCCTTCCCCCGGCGATCTTCCTGACGCAGGGATTGAACCCATGTTTCCTGCATTTGCAGCTGGATTGTTTATCACTGAGCCACCTGGGAAGCCCCATGACTAACCTGCATCTCTGGCATCCCCTGCATTGTCAGGTAGATTCTTTCAATGAGCCGCCTGGAAAGGCCAATATTGCTCATTCAGTTCAGTTCAGTTCAGAAGCTCAGTTGTGTCCAAGTCTTCGCAAGCCCATGGACTGCAGCACGCCAGGCTTCCCTGTCC